AAAAAAAAACGGAGGAGTTCAAGAAAAAGGTGAAAATTGCTACTGACCGTAATAAGTGGCTGAATTTGAGGTTATGTTGTTTTTATTAAGGTTAATTTTGTACTGTAGCATATAAATTAAATTAACATCACGATGTGGATTCATGCATTAGCCTGATTATTCGTGGGAACTTTATAGTTTATTTTATTCTTAAACATCGTTACTTTGTAAATTTTTCCAATTAGTTTATCCTAATTAATTATGCATAGAAATGAACGATTTTCAGAAAACATGGAAAAAACTAGACAGTTTGTCAACAGTAACAAAACACTGAAAACTGGTTTAGAATTTCCTTTTAATATTATTTTCTGTTTTGACCAAATCCCACTATATATATTAATTTCTGAACAGACTCGCATGCTTCGGGATTCTATGTGGCAAAATTACATACTTTGTTATTAGGCTTGAGTAGATTTTAATTTACTTTCAATACAAAAATAATTAGGTTTAGATTATTCATAAATATGTTGATTATTTATGGTAATGTTACATGTATTAATTGTATTTTGATATAATTTCTTATTATAACCATTGAATTGTAAATGTACTGTAAAAGTTAATAACTTTTGTATTTTTTATCAATTTTACATATATAACATATCAAATTAATAATCTTTTGATGAACTTCGATTTAACATTCATATTGTATGTATAAAAAAATAAATTATATTTATTTCTATAACAATAATAAAATAACACATGTAAGTCGCACAAGTAACACGTAGCATTCTAAAATATATAATAATATATATTTTTTTGTAAAAAAAGTAAATAAAATTTAAAATAATTTTTTTCATTAATTTTAAAATTCAAGATTAATTTTTTTTAACAAGTAGTGTTGTACTAGGGTGTGTTATTTTAAAATCTTTGAGGCGTGTTTGGGATTGCATCGAAATTCCCAGTATCAACCCTACAACTCCAAATTCAAATTAAGAGTATCCACAATGCTACCTAAGAGCGCTTGGATGAGATGACTTGAGTCTCTTCCAGCTTAACCAGTGGTCTTGAGTTCGAGCCCTGGGAATGCAGCAGTGTTAAAACTTTTGAGGGAGAGCTTTGCCACCCTTGTGGTCCTACCCGGCTCGATTCCGGATTAGTCGGTTCCTCTGTGGATCTGGAAACCGGAAGGTCCCTGTACCAAAAAAAAAAAGAGTATCCACAATGCTTTGGGTTCTTTCAAAAAAATATACATGTCATGTAGGAAATAAAATTAGTCTAGAGAAATATTTACTCAAATGCAAATGCAACTGGACCAGGTCTTGCTGATGTGGCAGCAAAAAAATGAGCTTGATCTACCCTTGAGTCTATTTTACACCCAAGTAGAGACTTAGTCTCTTTGCATTTAGAATTAATTTCATTACTTTTCAATATTTTTGTCCATGTCATCTAAGACTTAAGTATATTTACATGTCATGTACTTTTCAATATTTTTGTACATGTCATGTAAACAAAACTAGACGCAAAACATTGTACGTTAAACATGTCAATTTTCTTTTGACATGAAATTTGTCTAGACGTCAGCACAATGTGAAGTCCATCGGGCCATCATAAACAAGCAATTCACGGTTAGAAGTTCAAAACGAGATCCGTATTCTGTGAGTTGCATATATCTTTATAATCTGAGTATCTATCATTATATATCATATAAAAAAAAACATTCACCCAAATTCATCCTCAAACGCAATGTACAGAGCCTGAATAAACCAAAAACAAGAAAGTAAATAATAATAATAATAATAAAAGATAAAAATTACAAGTTGCTATATCATATAAAGAAAAGCCATCTCTAAAACGCAATTTCACAGGGAGCATGAAATGTTCGTCCACGGCAGATGGCCTCCAAGTTCTCTCCAGAATACGAGCAAAGAGGCGAAACTTCCACACCTAATCATTCAAAACACACAATCAACCCATTTTTCTACTTGTACATTCATTTGTAATGACCAATCAAAAGAGAAAGACTACCGGTAGCATATAGAGGCACAGAGTGAGTCAAGAAGCCTCCGGCAGCAACCACCCAACGAGCATGCAAGCGGAGGACAAGCAGACGAGCGCTGTCTGGAGTGTCGAAATTTGATCCGTTTGCATTTTTCACGGGTGCGAATTCTTCTTCGCGCAAAACCTATACATACAGATGACAAATTCAGTCTTTTATTCAAAAATTACATTTGTAGATTCTTTTTCTCTGTTGCTGGCTTGCTGCTACATTTGGAGATTTAAAAATAAAAAAAATAAAAAATCCTCAGTTAATTTGAAAGCACGAAAAAAAAGTACGGTATGTACCTCATAGAGTGCAGTGGAAGGCGCATAAGGAAATGCATCGAATATGAATTGCTCTAATTTGAATCCTACAGTGTGTCCATGGATTGAAGGAATATTCTTTTCTGCAAGATGGTAACTGCACTCAAGGAACAAAACACCAGATATGTTATCCGTTATCCCTCTGTGTTTGGGTTTGTGTTTGTGTGTGTGTGTGTGTGTGAGTGAGAGAAAAGAGAGAGAGAGAGAGAGAGAGAGAGAGAGAGAGAGAGAGAGAGAGAGAGAGAGAGAGACTTTACATGCTGTCTTTCTCAAGGCCATTTGCTACTTGGTTCAGAAAATCTAAAGTGAACATGTGCAGGCAAACCTGAAATGATAAAGGCGCATTTGAAATCTGGGTATTCAAAAAGTTTCGAACTTGTTATTTCCCAAAGACCCATAAAGGAGAACAAACTCAGGAAACACAAAAAAGGAAATTAGGGAGTGGACAATACATTACTCCAACAAAAGCGAAGTCGGCCAGTTGTCTGATTGATTGCACTTGCTAGTGATGTGTCCAATTCACTGTACTCAACCACAGAGATCGGTCCACCTTTACCTCGTTGAACAAAAACACCAACTTTCTCTTGTGGGTATCCCTACAGTTCAACAAATTGAGAAGGAAAACATTACACTATGTTTGGTAAAACTAGCTGATAAACTAGCTGATAAACTAGCTGATAGCTTATAAGTGATTTTCTAGCTTATTGATGAATTTCTGGTTTTCAGGTAAAATATTTTGGGAACTGAAATTTTATTTCTCTTAGCTCAAAGAAGAAACTGTACAGTGTTGACCTAAATAAGTCTCACGCACGCGACTTACATGCAATACCAAAACGGTGACATTTTGGTTGTAAAAGAAAACGGACTCCACTTACAAAGGCGCTAACACGCTTTCTACCAATTTATTGACTTGATAAAAGAAAAAGAAAACAATAAGGAAAAAGAAAAGAAAGCAGCACGATGTGAGCCATCTTCATATGCAAGCCCGTAACACATGAACCATCTACACACCATGCACGATTGAGCACTATTCCAACACTTATACTTATAAGTTATAGCTGAAAAGCTAGCTTATATGATAAAAGTGTTTGGTAAAATTAGCTGATAAGCTAGCTGAAATAAAACTTTAAACGAGCTTATTTGAAAAAGCTACCCAAAAGAAGAAACTTATGAGATAAGCTCGAGCTTTTTCAAAAGTTCGTCTTACCAAACAAAGCTTATTTGGCTACCATACATAGCCTTAAACTATGATTTACAATAGATCATGTTTTCCTGAAAAAAGTTACAACACCACACATACCTTTCGGACAACTTTAGCAGCTGCCGCCACGCCCTTATCAATGAAATAACCGAGAAAAGTTGGATCGCCAACTCGTACCTGTTCGAGATAGATTTTGTCGCAAGGCATATAAAAACCTGACCAGAAAAGGAAGAGAACGAAATATAGAAAGAATATTTAAATTTTAACTCACTAAAGCATTGTCAACTCCATAGCAGTCCAAGTATTTTATGCCTCTCATAGCCATATCTTCCAATAACCTTGATGTTTTCAATGCTGCAATAGTTTTATCCACGTTGAGTGAAAAAAAAAAAAAAAAAAAAAAGGTTGACTTAATGAAGGTTTATAATCAGCACATATACCATTGGGACGCATATGTAGTAATTAAGTTTACCTGAGTAAACTCCACCATTTCCATCAGGAGACTTTGCCACCTGGCTTTAGAAGAAGATTAGGCAATTATAACAAAATACAGATAAGCTGCAGAAGTAATAATATATAAATAAAAAGACAAAACATAAAACAAAATCATGAAAAAACTTTTAGATTGAAAATCAGTATATCTGAAACTAAAAATTATTCTGTGTTTAAAAAATATGGTTAAATAGCTTAGCGATAACAAATCATACCCTGTATGGAGTTTCCATTATAAATCTACCATCTCTTGACACACAAGGTATAGTGCCCTGTTGGAAAAAGGTGACCTGTATGTATTCCATTCAAAACTTTCCTAAGTGCCACTGATGTTTTAAAATCAAGATATAGAACCGAAACAGTAAAAAACTTCTAACTTGATCTGCTTCAAGGCCAAAATATTTGTGGCTTTCGAAGTATTTTCGTGTGGGTTCATCAGTAAATGGACTAGTCATTATGTACCAATGAATAGGTGTGGTACCAGAAGAAGCTGCATGTAAACCAAAATGATTAGGGCTGTTGAACAAAAGAGGATAGTGCAATAAATACAGGTTGATACTTACTCTCGTTCACAGATTGAGCTGCCAATCGTTGAAGGCACAGAATTCGCTCAGCTTGAAGTTGGAAAAGTGATTTTCCAGATGGAAGCCCTATGTCTAAGATTAGGATAAAAAAAAAGGATCGAATAGACTTTATTTTCTAGGGAAATAAAAAAGTAGTTATCGAAGTATACCAAAGTCAAGATACACACACACCCCAGTTTAGAAGTATTACAAGTATTGCCACATGAAAAGTGAATATAATCTTAAAAAGCATCTTTTAAAAGGAAAAATGAATTCCCTCATCAAGTGGTAAATTCAGTCAGTAAATAATTTCTCTGAACAAGAAAAATCAACTTCACTTACTAAAACAGCCTTTAGGGTCTGCACTCCCAAGACGAGTTCCCTGCATTCAAAAGATTCAAAATCACAAAGAAAATTTACGAACCACTTAACGAGATAAATTAAAAAGGTAAAGACATGCTGTGGAATCATTTATTATACTAAATTCATATGAGTATTCTATTATTGAGCACGTATCATCAAATTACAAGTATTCAAATCCAGCAAAATACTTGGAGTCACAATATATCATATAATAGTTTATATCAAGATAAACAAGTAATTATTTCAAAAACTGTGCAGGCAGCTATCAGCAAGTCTCATCCAAAACAAATTTCTGAGATACGATTCACATCCGTATACTTCTACAAAGTTCCACGACTAAATCATTTCTGAATATGTATCTTATTTGCATGTTCAGGTGAAATAGATTACACATACTAGATTTGACATCATCCATAAAGGTAATAAAAGCATACTTTCCTTTTTCCTTTCCACCGATAAATCATTAATTCACCATCATCAGATATCGTGGTCCACGTCATACAAGAATTAAGATCTCACCAAACTCTATTACCAAAAAAGACCTCAATTTCATAAAAAGGTTCCAAAATGTATTTTCCTTCAAGGCTATTGCCACATATTCCAGACTTGACCGAAAACCAAACCAAAACGGGAAACGGAAATAAAAAAGACAAAGAAAAAGAAAAAATGATCATTATCATGGATGAATGAAATAACAAACCTGTCCACCGGATAAAAGTATGACACCCAACTTTCCTTCTGAGATGGCCTTTATTCCCATTTTCCACCACCTTTCCCTTTCTTCCATCGTCCGCTTTTCTACTGTTGAAACACTGCTCTCTGGGACAGGCTCTATCGATGCTGCCGGTAAACCTAATAATAGATCACATAAATTCAATTATCGTTATACATACATTTCTAAGAGTTAAAAAAAGAAACCATTTTGTTTACATATGCAAAATACAAAGCGGTAGTAACAGGTGAACCTTGCGAGTGAAATGAGCATCGAATTATCCGATCAATTCTTGAGAGATCTAAGCTCTGCAATAACATGATATTATCAGCCCTCAACTCCAGAAAGTAAACAAATACGCTCAAACAATTACATAATTACACACAATTGTAAAAGTAACAATATAACTTCAGTGATTGAACAAAAACAGTAAGTGCTAATATTTATCGACTTCTGGATTGGATTGCAAATTTTCTCTGACAAACGATCATCCAAAAACTACAAGATCACGGACATGCTCATCAACTAAAACATAAAGACAGGAAATTTTCCATCTTGTGCAAAAATAAAAATCCAATCTTGACTTCCCCAAACAAGATCTAAACTAAAATTTAAGATCAATTTGCAAAACTTACTTTATCAGAGAGGACAACAAGCACCGCTAAAAATTAAATCTTTCCAATCACAAAGCAACGAATCTCTGCTAGCTAAAATAACTGAAAAAGAAAAAAAAAAAGAAGAAGAGAGATCAAACGGAGTGTGGAGTGACCTCGATGTCCTTGACGAGGAGGTCTCGTTCATCAGGGGATAGCTCCTCCCAGAGGGCAAAAGCGTCTTCTTGGCCGTAATCCTTGAGCCTCTCGAGCAGAGACTGCGACGGCGCATTGTTGTCGTTCGCCGGCTCCCTCATTTCCTGATTCTGGCGCCTGAAGATCCCCGCCGCCTCCGGATCTGTAGGCGAAAATTGGGCCGATATATACGGTGCGGTGGTGTTGGTGGGGGTTAGAATAAAAATGCGTTCAGTTTGGTGGTTAAGAGTGACGGAAGTATAATTTATATGAATGAATGAATGAATGAATGAAATGAGTGATAAACCTCTCTTCAAAGTCTCAACCAGTTGACAGGAAGGAAGGAGTAAAAGGATGGCAATACTGAAATGACTTATATGCCATTGTGGATCGCCTGTCGTTGAGGGGTATTTGAGGGAATTAGATTGTTTGTACCACCGGACAGCGGGACACGAGTGCTTTTGCGGTTAAATCATAGAGGCTTTGCCCTTTTTATTCATTATTAGTATTAGTATTAGTATTATTACTTGCAAAATTAATAAAAATAAGGGTTAATTGTATAAAAAAACCACCACCTTTTGTTTAATTGCAAATAAAACTCAACCTTTTCAATTTGGCAAAAAAATACCTAATTTTTATTAAATGTTGCAATTTTACCTCGTCCGCCGGACCGCCGCCGCCAACTTTGCCGGTTATTGGAAATTTTTATATGATCTTGTAGCTCTCCTCCGTGCCAACAACATATCCAAGTTTCACGAAAAAATTTCGACGATAAAATGTCCAATTTTTCGGTCAAAGGTCGTAAAAAATTTAGATCTACGACCTTTGACCGAAAAATTAGACGTCTTATCGTCGAAATTTTTTATATAAAAACTCATCCCATTTACTATAATAGTAGGAAAAAAAAGTCAAATCATAATTAATTGCACACCATATTTAGAAAGTTTTTAAATATTTTAAATCGCAAAATAGGGAATGTCCCTAAAATTATGGGTTTTGTTGAATTCATTTTAATAAAATATGAATCAAAATTTACATGTGATTTTCAAGTGAAAATTTGAAATTCAAAATCTATTCTCATTTTAGTTACAAGAAAATCGGGTTGCATTCAACACTTGGACCAATTTAAAAGTTATTCCTTAAGTGAAGGAAATTATAGATAATTGTTATATCTACTCAATCACGTGATTATTTTCAATATAAAAAGAGACAAATTACAAATTAATTAATCATATATTACCTGATTCACTATCTTAACATTAAGGAATAAATTCATAGTATTATGTAAATTCGCATGTCATATTATTATATCACTAAGAATATATTATAATTATATTATCGAATCATAAAAAGAAAATAAATCTATATTGTAAAAAAAATCATATAATTTTATAACAATTCTACTACACCATTTAACAATATTCCTTTTCATTATATAATAAAATAATAATTAAATATTATATGGGGAACAAGAATAAGTAAAACTGTTACTTTCTCTTATATCAATGGGTAAATTTATATGTTAAAATTAAATTTTTATTTGTATAAATATTTTAGTGAGATAATATATTCATTATTTTACAAGCTAACCGTAACATGCTCATATATAATGTTCTGGCTAAAAAAACGTTGGTTAAAAGATGTGGAAAAAAACTTATAACCCTATTGTTTTTTAGACTTAACGTTGACTAAAAGAGATAGAAAATAGATAATAACCCTATTAATTTTTAGACTTAAACGGACAAAGCTGTGAAAATAACCCATTTAATGTAGATATCTCGTGTATCGCACGGGATACGTACTAGTATTAAAGGTGAGTTTGTTCAGAATATAATTAGGATACAACATTTAATTGATTGATAATGGACTTACAATAAAGATAGTGTTACAAAAATTCTATGGAACAATCGGATTGTTTTTTTATAGAGCCATCCATTGCTTAATATATTGACACATGTCCAAATTGTATTTATTGTAAGACACATGTCAATACACTATTGGTGAATAAGTGTGGATTGCTCCATAAGTCGAGCCATCCGATTGCTCCATAGCAAAACTGGATAGTGTTATTATTTATTAGTGAAGATAGTGTTATTATTTAGAATTATGCTACTTAGCCAACCTCCATTACAACTTGGTTTACAACCAAGTGTAATGGAGGCATTAAAAAAATATAAAAAATACTTTTTTAATGCCTCCATTACACTTGGTTGTGAACCAAGTTGTAATGGAGGTTGGCTATATAGCATAACCCTATTATTTATTAGTAAGTGTTTGGTGTTTGGAGATAACAATAGGAATGTTATGAGTACTGTTTAAGCAAGGTATAATAAAGAAGGCGATGTTCCAAGGCACCTTTTCATTTTATTTGTGATTTGTGTACACGTTCCATTTTTTTTTTTTTTTTTTTTTTTTTTTTTTTTTTTTGTTTACCTTTTGGTTTTCCATATCTTGCTCTCTTTAGGCCATCTCCAACCGAAAAACTCAAACTCAAACCCATTTTGCAGTAATTAATCTCCAACCGAAAAACTCATTCTCAAACCCAAAAGAATATTCTCAGAATATTCTCTTTTACACAAACTTTTATAACTTTTCAATACTACCCACATATTTTACAACTTTACAAATTAAACCACACTGTTATTTTAAATTCAATTTGAACTTTATGTTATTAAAATTAATTATACATAATAAAATCGGAGAAATAAATATTCATTAAAAATTAAAATTTCACCACACAAATAAAATTAAAAATTACAATTCACAAGATGAAAAATTAAAAATTACAACACACAAGATGAAAAATTAAAAATAACACACATGAATATTAGAAAATGTATTAGTAAATGTATTTGTATAATGTGTATTAGTAAATGTATTTTTTATGCTAAATAATTTGTGTAATGTACTTTTTATGTTAACTATTTTGTGCTTTTTATTTATTGATGTATTATAATTTTATTTTACAATTTTTTAATATTAAGATGATACCATATGAATAAAAAAATTTCTTATCTTACATTTGTATTTTAACTACATCTTCATTTCAAAAGTGAAGAAGATACAAATACATCTGTGTACCGATTGAATCAAAACTGTTATATTGAAAATATATGATTTAGTGCAAATTTACACTCTAGACCATATATGGTCTAGCGCATATATTCACATTTTAAAAACTGTTACTTTTTTTCATTGTATTAGTGCAAATTTACACTCTAGACCATATATGGTCTAGCGCATATATTCACATTTTAAAACTGTTACTTTTTTTCATTGTATCAATGCAAATTTACACTCTAGACCATATATGGTCTAGCGCATATATTCACATTTTAAAAACTGTTACTTTTTTTCATTGTATTAGTGTAAATTATAATATTATAAGATATATATAATATTATATGTAATTGAAATTAATTATACATAATAAAATCGGATAAATAAATATTCATTAAAATATATAATAGTGTAAGATACATATAATATTTATTATTTAAATATTATACTATATAAAATTTATAGTCTTTTTAAAATATATTAATAAAATATAATATAAAATTAACTAAAATAATATTGTATTTCATATTATATTTCTTTTATTAAAAAAAATTAACAAATACAATATACATACAATTATATATATATATATAAAAATAGGGGTGTTTAGAATATAAATATAGAATAGAAGGACTTATATGTAATAATTAAAAGATCAAACGAAAATTTTGGAGCACAACGCAAATATGCGTTTCTAGAGGAGAGAGAGAGCCCCTTTACGCATTTTGCAGATCCGTTTCCAGTTCGGGTGGAGAGAATTCTACTGTAAAATTTGAGTTTTGCGTCTCGGTTGGAGACGGTCTTAGTATTGCTATTTTCCATAATATGTCATTCATTATTCTTTTACAATTTTTGATTTAAACCTAACTTATTAACGTACTAACTGCTCACCATTTAAAAAGTTATATTTCGCAATAAGAGAGAGAGAGAGAGAGAGAGAGAGAGAGAGAGAGAGAGAGAGAGAGAGAGAGAGAGAGAGAGAGAGAGATTACAGAGTGCATCATATCATCATAACCCATATCATATCAGTAACCACAAGTGATATGACGAGAGAGATTCCAAATCAAAACCACTCTCTACTCATCAAAATAAGTTTGCTATATAGATTAATTTTTAATATTTTATCTCAATCATTGCACAATTACAGCAATCACCTCTATTCTTTACATTATCATGAGAGCTTGTACACCATTAAAGTACAAAATAAGATTAAAATACATCAGGTGATAAACTGTTGAACCTTTCTGTTAAATCTTCTACATCCAAGTTTCTTAAAGATAATCAAAACTCAAAAGTATCTTCATTTAAAAAAAAAATAAAATGAAAAGCCGATAACATTATTTTATTACCTGGCGATTCAAATGATACACGATAATCTTTCTGTACAAGCCACACAAGAAGCAGAATTTATGCAAAATTCAAATAGTAGCACTCGAGTTTTCAGTATTATCATCTCAGAACAACTTTCAACTTGGTCTCGACTTGTTCCCGCACTTTCCACTGCCATTAATTTATCATCAAATATTTGAAGTTCGCAAAAGAGAGGCAAAAAAATGACAAATCGCTTTCTTTTACTAAAGTTGTTTTTTTTTTTTTTTTACCTGTAAATCGTTAATCTCCTCATCGGTCAGTGACCGTTCCATTGACCTATAAGCAATCCTATAGCAGTGACTCGTCATTCCTTTCTTGTTTGTGAAGTTGTCGATTAATTTCACCTATGCAAAACATAACAGCTCGCTCTGACAAAACAATTTCAAGAAAGATCGATGCCTGAAAAACCAAACAGCCTTGTAATGAAAATATCACAAGTAACTTTACCTCCTCAACAAGATCCCCAGCAATACCTCTAACAACTTCACATAGGTTGTTTTCTGTAAATGAATCACTTATCCAGAAACTCATGTCCTTATAACATGGAGGATACTGCAAATATTTTGGTCATTGAAAAAAAAAAAAGGGAGATAAATATTTCTATTGTATCCGTCTAACAGAGTTTGCGAAAGTATAAATTGTTAAAGAGTATTTTTTTGAAATACATCAGTACCTTCGAAAATGGTTTAAATTTCACTCCGAGCTGTCCTTTGGAGAACTATAAAAAATTAATGTTAATATAATTAGGCCAAAATATTTGTGAAATATATGAAGATATGGCATCACCATACTTGTGAAGTAAACCGCTCGTCCATTGTCCAGAATAGACGGATATCTGGAATGTCAAATAAAACCATTGCTAATCGTTCTAGTCCAAGTCCAAAAGCCCACGCTACATTATCGGTTTTACCACTTCTCTTTAATATTTCTTGCTCCATTACCCCACAGCCCAACACTTCCAACCATTTCTCCTGGAATAATACCCATTTTTGTTTACTTAAAACCGGAGCTAGTGGAAAAGGAAAAAACTTGAATATTTGGTTCAATATGTAACAAAGTAAAGATACCTGAAAAAATATTTCCAACTCGAATGAAGGATTGGTAAATGGAAAATACGTGTCAATCCAACGCATTTCGACACCACCTGAAAATTTTTCAATAAACGAAAACATAACCACAGTATCAAGTACCTAATATCCATTTATTATAAGCATTTACCTAGCAGGCCAGTAATTAATGTTCTAGCAAATTTGTTGCATTTTCAATTTTTCATCACTATACCGAACAAATGGCGAGCCAAGCCCTCAAGACATTTCTTTAAATCCTCAGCAGCGTATGATGTGGCATCTCTATCAGATCCTTCCCAGTCAGATGGAGAAAAAACACGTACCCCTTCCATCTAAGAACATTTTTCATGAAGAATTAATGTGGGACCAACAGTTTGAATACAAAAGGATACAAAGCCAAAGAAAAAAAACCTGATGGAACACAGGGTAGTGGGTGGAGTCTATAGAATCTCTTCTGTAAACATCTCCAGTAACAAGGAAATGAGTGTGACCTTCCCTAAGTAATTCAGCTTGATGGGCACTTGTGTGGCACCTCAGGACAGTTTGAGTATCCACATAATAAGTGTCATTGTAGCTTCTGCTTACATGGTCGGCAGGCACCAACACATCATCAAAGTTCTGAAGGTAACATAAAAGTGATACGCTCAAGTCAATCGTTTGACATAAGACCTGTCCCTTAAATTAAAAACTGCTCTTAAAAGTACCAAAATAACATAAAACTCTGTAAAAGCAAATTAACAACAAATATAAAAAGAACCTTAAAAGGTAGAAACATGAAAGGAAAAAACTAAGAGAAACACCAAAAGTAGCGCGAAATGAGACTGCTATATAAATAAAAATAACTAACTACATGATATTAGGACTCTAAAGAACTAGAAAAGATAAAATATAAAAAAGGAAAATAACAAGCTTATTTGGCCTCCATTTAAGGGAATTGTCATAATTAGAAGAAAATAGAGGTTCCAGTTTCATTATTAAAGGCGTTATAAAATTGTACGACTTAAAACTAAAACGTACACCATTACTGGTCGCATTTCAAAGTACTGGAGACATCTATATCAATGTAAGAGCAATGGACGTCCTCTTAAAAAGGAAGCAAAGATGGATGATAATAACAAATAAATATGAATCTTCTACTTAAGGGACAAACGGCAAGCATTTAGCTCACTAGGAAAGCAATTTCTGAAAATTGAAGAAGTACAAGGCAGAATATTAGAAGAAGGAAGTGTAAAATTTTAACATCCTAAAGGATTCAAGAACCTACAGCTTTAACAGAAACTATTGGGCATAAATCGTCAAACTTGTTAAATTTGGTGGGATAGTTGGTGTCGAAATAGTCATGGATTGCATTCTTTAGTATGCCAAGAGGATGTTGATCCCTCCTATGAAGCTGCATACCGAGCTTCGAGAAAATTGAATCAGGGACATTGTTTGTTGGGTCATTCTTCACTATCTCTGCATCATGCAATTAACACAAACTATGAAAACAATTGTGTGAATGTTAGAGTTATACGGGACAAAAAAAAAAAAAAACAATCATTTGTTAACAGAAGACGTTGGAGTTCACTGTACACATTTGAGATGAATCTCAACAAAAGAATGAAGATTCCCATTTCATTGAAGAAGACTGTTTAGAATAAAGTGGATCCTTTCCAGACCAAACGAGAAAGAAGTTTAGATTTTTCCCAAATGATAAACTACCAACGGAGCGTAACACAAGAATCACGACTCACATTCAATTTCAGGCCAGGATTAAATCCCAAAAATCAGAATCATGGTCAACTAGTTAAAAAGAGGCTAAAATGCGAATGAGGAAAGCTAATTCGAAATTGGGGGAAGCTTAATTTACCTTCTCTAGCTATCTTGACTCCTCCAAGCTCAACAAGCGAGGCTGCCGCTGGTCCTCGCCGCTTCTTCTGGGAGTGTGCTTTGTCAGAAGGAAATGCGGCGGCGGTGGAGGAAGTTGAGATAGATGAAAAGTGTAGGCAGAGAGCACATCTAGTTTTGCGGAGGAAGATGGAAGAAGATCTTGAGAATAAGGTGGAGATTGCTATTGACAGCGCCATGGAAACAAATTCTGCCCTCTGCTCAACTGGTTCAGGTTGTGGCCTGTGGGTGTGTGACGACAGAGTTCAGTTATATAGGCTTGTATGGATAAACGTTATATTATCGATTCATGGGCCGGACTCCATTAACTTGGCTGACTTTTACATATAATTAAAATGGCCCAAAATAGAACACCCATGAACCAGCCGAAGGTCCTCTAAATCAACGGCCCAGGTATTCGAAACCTTTGCTATGTTGCACCCAAATTTGTGCTAATCGTGCTCATTTATTTGATGTTTTTGCTCCTTTTTAGTTTCCTTTTTTTTTTTTTTTTTATAATTTTCTGTACTAGATATTAGTATAACTCTATAAAATGTTGCAATTGCCTAATTTTATCTTGTCTACACTAATAAGACTAACTGCAAAAGCCAGACCAATAATTATATATTTATATCGCACATCATTACGTCACTACAAAGCCTCGCCGCAGAGGGTGTTAACAGGTTAAGGACCAGTAATCATACAACTTTGACTGTTGGCTAAAAGTTCTATCGTTGTTTGAATTTTAGTAGGAAAATAAGGGGTGGCATTAGTCTGGTTTTCTTTCGAGACAGAAGAAATGTTTTTGTTTTGCAAGAGGGTAAAATGAAGAATAGCTTCAAATGTAAAACCCAAAAGAAGCAAGTGGTGATTGAGAATAGAGCAACAAGCATAATGCCATATAAAGCTTCCATCTGTTACATAAAAGAAATGTTTCAGAAATCCAAATTAAATTATGAAATATGCTCAACTTATATCGAACACCCTATTATTGTACATCTGTTGTGGTCTCGAGAGTAAGCCTTCACTTTTTGTAGAGTGTCTCCATGGTATCCTTGAGGAGCTGAACATCTGCCCCAATAACCTCTGAGGCCTTTTTACCACCTTGAAAGAAGTGCAGTGTGGGCTGCATCCAGAAATTACGCACACAAGCAAATTACTAAACCAGGATACCAAACATCACAGCCAAGAATGTATGCACTAAACATTAAAACATAAGCATAGCTTGTAAGAAAAAGGTTCTATGGTCGCCTATAATGTTTCAGTGAAGATTCAAGGCATGCTTTCAATATAGCCATCCACATTCTTCTCCAACTACTAACTATCTCATGCAATATATACGTAGAGTAAGATCAGGAACAAATGAATTAGCAAACAAATAACTTAATAAATGAAAAATATGATTTTACCACGGATTGAATGTTCATCCTGCTCAATGCATTTCCAAGCTCCTCCTGCACAATTCCAAGTCAACAACATCCATAGGGAAGCAATTGAATGATAAAAATCTACAGAAAATAATAATGTTCACCAGTATGTTTTACCTTATCGATGTCTATTTTATACGTAGTGACATGGGGGTATTCCTCACCGAGCTGCCCAAGTATGGGGGATAACAATCTACCTGCAAAGATGATTAATCAAGTACGTGATTAAGAATCATTTCCAGTTGAGATGTAAAGACCATAACAGTATTTGACACCTGCATAAGAGGTGAAAAAATAAAAAAAGAAAAAAAAANNAAAAAAAAAGAAAAAATGAAAGAAAGAGAGGGAGAAAACTTACATGGGGGACACCATACAGCAGTGTAGTAGAATATTGCAGGCAAAGATTCATCTACACCACGTTCAAGTTACAAAATGGTCAGCCCTCAAGACATGCAACTTACAATAGCAAAGACAAAAAAAATATACCCAACTGAAGCAGAATATATAAGCAAAATAGTCTCTTTGACAAATATACCTTGGACCTTGCGAAGTAAATCGTTAAACTGCTCCTCAGACTCGATTAACACCACCTTGGATGGATCTATAAACCAAGAGTAACACATCACGAGTATCAAACTAAAGTACATCGACGATATTTGAATTCTATAGACCCAAAGTAACACATCACGAGTATCAAACTAAAGTACATCAATAATAATTTAAAATCACATAAGGCTTTTCTAAATCTAAGAATGTGCCTACACTACTTCAGGGAGAAATCAAAACAAATTATTGCAATCAATCAGAATCAATCACTAATTTCCCTTTTCCAAAAAAAAGTACACTATCTTTCAGTACATATTGGTGCCATAAAAATTTATGTTCCTCGCAACCCTTAACTAGGAATGAGAAAATTAAACTGAATAACTCAAAATCAGCTTCGCCATATTCAAAATAACTCGGTGCCTAAACATAGATTCCTTTTTTTTTGCAAACAGCCTCAGCATGATAATGAGAATAAGCTAATTCCATGGACAACGGAATCCTAAACTCTGCATAACTATGGTATGTCTGACTATATGCCGGCTACAACATATCTTCAAGTGTCAATACTGAAAATCCAAAATCCCCTAAACTCCAAAGCCAAAAACACACACACATAGGGGATAAATAACACCGCTAATTTCTTGACAATAGAGACCTGCGGAGGGCGAAGAGGAGAAGCTCAGAGAATGGTTCAGGAAAGCACCCTGGAAGCCTGCAGGGGCCGTTGATGATGAGAAGAAAAGCGGGCTGATCCCGTCTTCCGCGAGGATTAGAGAGGAGCACGAAGCGACGGCAGCCGACGAGATGATGAGGTTCTCGCAGACGGAAAACGATCGACCGGCGACGCAAGGGACACTTCCGGCTGCCAAACGACGTAGCATTGAGCCCACCCCTCTCATTTTTCTCCACTCCCAAGTGTTAGTTGGACAAAATCAGAACGATGGTGGATATGTAGCTCAATGGAAAAAAAGAGTGAAAATCAGAACGAGGGTTTTTGGAATGAGATTTTGAATAATTGAATTAGATAAAGGCAAAACTGCATCAAAATACACCACCTTTTAACTTTTTGCAATTTAATCACCACTTTTAAAATTTGCAACTAAGTACACCAGCTTTAGACATTTGGCAAATCGAAGCATGCCAAACAGACTCATTACTAATGGAATCCAAATCATCTCTGGATTGATCAGAAGATCCTTTCAGTTGGCTAGAATCCCCCCTTTTTCCGATCCAGTTCCTCCACCACCGCGAACCCGACACCAGCTTTCTTACGTGGCAATGTCAGAAACTCACGTGGAAATCGAAAACACGCGTAGAAGTCCAAAAATACCAAACAAAAAATTAAAATGCCACAAAATCAGTCTACTTGGCAGATTTGCTAAAATAAAATCAAAATTAAGTAGCTCCTCAGCCCTAAATTCAAAATCAATCGAACAACTATGAACCCTAAACTGAAAAAATGTCGATCAATTCAACATGTTATCTTGTGGCCGAAATAACTCACCTCCAAAATAATCTACAGAACCATCAAGATTGATAAATCTTTTCTCATTGTTCAAATTGTTCGACAATTTTGCAATTTAGGGTTCTTAGTTGTTCGACTGATTTTGAATTTAGGGTTGAGGAGCTACTTAATTTTGGTTTTATTTTAGCAAATTTGTCAGGTAGACTGATTTTGTGGCATTTTTATTTTTTGTTTGTTATTTTTGTACTTACACGTATGTTTTCGATTTTCAAGTGAGTTTCCGACGATACCACGTAAGAAAGCAGGTGTCGGTTTCCGTTTGACATGTTTCGATTTGCCAAATGTCTAAAACTGGTGTACTTAGTTGCAAACTTTAAAATATGACGATTAAATTGCAAAAAGTTAGAAGGTGGTGCATTTTGATATAATTTTGCCTTAGATAAATTATATATTTTTTTTTTTATTTCCTTTCTTCTTCGCAGTACATATATGGGGAAAAATGTTACCCTTCCATCAGGATTGTAACTAGTAATTGTCGGCGGATAGTTGATCTAACGGTTAAGAATTAAATTAATTTGTAGATTGTGATTCCATACGGGAGGAATAGCGTCTTCGCAGTCTATTATTGGACCTTGTTTTATTTAAGAAGCCCACTAATATTTAAGCTCAAACCAATTTTATCGAGCCTAGCCCAATCAAGTTTCAATGATTCGGGCCGGCCTAGGAATCACATTTATCGTGGAATCACTAGTTTATATTATATAAGCTATTTTTTATAAATAAATAAGTAATATTATAAGTAAATTTTATATCTTAATAAATTATGAACCAATGATAATTACTTGATAATATATTATCTCAAGTTTACAAAAATTCTATGGAGTCATCGGATGATTTTCTTATGGAGTCATTTATCACTTAATACATTGACACATATCCAAATTGTATTTATCGTATGACATATGTCAATACACTATTGGTGAATAAGTATGAATTGCTCCATAAGTAGAGTCATCCGATGACTTAACAACAAAACTGTTCAATTTTATATATAAAAGAAGAACTCCAAATTGACAATACAAACATTCCATTACAACATGACCGTGAACAATTTAGATTGTGAGATAAATTTATATATATATATGTTTTTTTTTTTTTGAAACGATAGGAATTCTCATTAATGACATAACACGGAGTACAATACGACGGATTAACTAATTCGAATACAAACCTAAAAGGAGGAACACTTGCAATAAGCGCCCTAAAACCCAAACAACCAAACTAACAAGGAATATAAGCAAAGCGAGATCACACGAAATCTATATCCTCGAACTAACAACAACACTAGAAAAACAAAAGCTAGAAGCTATTGTTTATTTACTTCACAACATAAAAAGTGGACGAATTTTCATTAAATTAATATAATGGAAAGAATCTCTATATATATATATATATATAATTGTTGGTATAGCATTTAATAAAACATATTTAATAAAATTTATAAAATGTTTTCTCCATATTCAGTTACAAAATTTATCATTAATATTTTTTTAGTTCTCACATTAATACATTATATTGAGTGTAATCATGTATGTTTCTACTAGTGCGTGGCCCGTGCGATAAACGGGAAAACACTATTACTATTGTGTTATAAATTAAATATACAAATAATTAATCAAGATTTTTTCATCGTTTTAAAATTAAACCGTGTTCGACATAGTCCGAATGGATGGACCGAGAACCGATTTATAGGGGAAGTACCTGCCCAGAAGTACCTACCCCAATTGCCCGTACTGCTCGGGATTTGATCTTATTTGTATCTTAATCACATCTGAGTCATCATCAGATTCCTTCTTATCCATTTATTGCCTCTTGTAATCACAGAGACCTCTAGCAGCAGAGATCTTTAGTCACAAAGACCTCTAGTAACGAAGACCTCTAGCAGCAGAGACCTCTAGTAGCGGAGACATCTAGTCACAGAGACCTCTAACAGCGGAGACCTCTAGTCACAGAGACCTCTAGTCGCAGATGAGCTCTAGCTCCTCTTGTCCAGTCGATACGAGATGACCTCTAGCAACTGCTAAACGTCATCTCGACCTACTAGAGGTCACTCATCTCGACCTGCTAGAGGTCATCTCGTCTCGACCTAACAAGATAAGAGCAAGAGCTCATCTCAACTTGACATTGGACCTGCTAGAGGTCATCTCAACCTGGTAGAGGTCACTCATCTCGACCTGCTAGAGGTCATCTCGTCTTGACCTGCTAGACGTCATCTCGACCTGCTAGAGGTCACTCATCTCGACCTACCAGAGGTAATATATATTGATGTAGGGAAACATACGAGTGGGAATGATATGAACGGGATCTCAATTCAAACACGATAAAAACCAAACCAATCTTATTTTTATTCAATAATCAACCACATAAAACAATAGATATGAGATCCTTTATATAAGACTTCTAAACTATGTTCTTAACTTGTCCAACAAGACAAAATATTTTATAATAATATTAAATTCCTAATTTATTCTCCAAAATACCTATAATAATAATAACAATATTATTATTATTATTATTATTATTATTATTATTCTCCCAAATTTCAAACTATTTTTTCTCATTAATTTTAAATTTTAAGAAAAAAATTAGCAAGCACCCGTGTAATACACGGGTGTTGTACTAGTTATAAATAAACAAAAAAAAATTATAGTTAAATAATATTATTTATTGTATTTATTTTATATTATTTTTTTATTTTTAAAATTTTATTATTTATTTTAATTTATATTGTTCTATATTATTTTGTCGCATTAATTTATATTATTCAATATTATTTCTAAATTTTACCAAATAAAATTTATAAATTAAAATTATTTCTTTACAGTTAAAATTAATTATTAAAAATTTATAATTATTTGGTTTTTGCATTCATATGGTATGAAAGAGTAAATCATATGAAAATTATTTGATAAATGATATTTTTTATTTTATTATATCAATTTAATATTTTTATTTATTACTCATAATAAGTTATTTTGATTTATTATTTATTTTATTTATTATTTTTATACTTTATTATCTTATATAATTTTTATTTTTATTTTATTTAAAATTTTCTATATATATTTTATTTATTTTTTAATTTATTTTATATTTTTATTAATTAATTTTATAATTAATTTATTTTAATAATTAAAATGTAAATTTATTTAATTGTAATCACGCTACTATATCAAATTTATCTTACTTTATTTTAATTTATTTTTTATTTGTTATTTTTATATTAATTTAATAATTGCAAGTTATTATTATTATTATTATTATTATTTTATTTTATAAATTTACCTATTATACTATTGCATTTTATTTACTCTATTTTTAGAGTATTTAATTCATTCCGGATTCGTAAGTATATATATATTGTTCAATAGTCTACACAATAATTAAGGTAGCCCAGTGGTTGTGGTTGTCCTTTTTATCCAAGAGACCTTTTTATCCAAGAGACCCAAGTTCGATTCTGACATCCTGCACTCAATATAATTTTGGTTTTTGCAATAAATTCAAGAAGGGTATAAATGTAAATTATTAATTCTGCGAAATAAAAAATTGAACAATTTTCGGAGCTGGAGAAGGTGCTTTACACGCACCGGTAAGTTAGACGAAATGGGGGAATCGTGCAAGTATTACTTAAATATAAGGGGGTCTGGTGCATTTTTAAAACACATTTCATAAAAACGCGCACATTTCATTAAACACAGGGTGGTTTGGTACAATGTACCCCTTATACAATTGACTGTTTTTGGCTGAACTGACGTTAAGTTGCTGGGGATGAGCTCAATAGATGCAGCCAGCAATTGACAGATAGATAGAGCAGGCTTGTTGTTGGTCGCATGGCTTTTTTGAAGGATGACATGGGTGCAATAGTAGCGGAAAATATACCTACCTACCTTTGCAGAAATTCTGCTGCTTCGTTTCTTGCAATTTCTTTACATTAATTTACCTCTTGTATTCTTTAGACAAATGGTTCAAGGATATAACAAACAAATTTAAATGGAAGAACAATGATATAACAAATAACTTTCACCTTTACTTCTATTTTTCTTTCATTCCAAGACAAAAATATCAATTACCACATAAACATTTGAGCCCCTTCTGCCCAAAGGAGAATCTCTTAACTAGGAAATGGCTCTTTTAGAATCAAATACAACAAAAACCAGTTTCAGCTCGAAGCCGAATCTTCTACTGCTTATGGTATGCGAAACCCCTTCTATACACATACTTATTTAACTCTAACCATGAGGATTAGATGAACATCCCTCTTGAATATGGACCGAAGCTCCTCATTAGCTTCCATACCTATCCTCCTGAAAAGTGAAATTTTTAAGACCAAGTTTAAAAATTGATCTTATTTATTATAACTTAAGAGAAAAAAGACAGTGAACTACTAACCCTATTTTGCAGCCTTTTTTCCCGACTAGAATTTTTCGTTGGCTGACTTTGGGAGTGATGAAGTGTTGCTCAATTCGGACTGAACCATCTCTTAACTCTTTCCAGCCCATCAAGCGATGTTCGATGCCATACGGTATTTCCTACATTTAGTAATAATAAATCAGCCTCTATTACTATTCCAACTCGTTGCCATTACAATTTAGAAATCAAAACATTACCTGATGCACATAGTCCAACAATTTCTCTCTCACAACTTCTAGGGATATGTTCTTCATAACTTCTTCGCTCATGGCAAATGGATCTTCATCCCACGGTCTTTTTACTGCCTAAGAATACATAAGATTAGAAAAACACTGGTGGAGCCTTTGGGGTATTATTTTCTCCATGTTACGCAAAGTCAAATTAGATGCGTTGTGGTGAACACATTTGAATCAGTAAAATTTTAATTCAACGGAGCAAAAAAAAAGAGAGAGATCAACTATTGATAGTTGCAGAGAGAACATGTTCTCCAAAAACTTATCATAGATAGTCTCTCAAATTGTTATAAACACTAGAAATTTATGTACATGCAAAACAATTTTGACACAGCTTGTTGCAAAGCTTCTAGGTCAAAGCATAATTAAGTAAATAAAAAGAAGAAATGTGCATTTTGTGCCAGACTAAGCAGTAACAAACAACAAAAGAGCATTCAGAGATACCGCGTAAGATGGAGGTGTCAGCGTCAGCTTTTCAACCATACCTGCTCAATTAAATACTGAGTAAGGTCTTTGATCCCAGCAGCCTTCAATCCTGAGATCATGAAGAACCTATCCACCGATGTCAGGCACAGCAGTGGTCAATTGATATATATATATATATATATATATATATATATAGAGAGAGAGAGAGAGAGAGAGAGAGAGAGAGAGAGAGAGAGAGAGAGAGAGAGAGAGAGAGAGAGAGTGTATGAATAACATACCTATCATATCCAGGAAGGTCTTTGATATCTTCCACAACCTTGAGCAGATCTTTCCTCTTTGGGACCATGTCAACTTTATTCATGCACAACACACGCTTCTGGCTTGTGTTGCTAATTGAACCCATTCTTTCGATCAATCTCACCACTCGTGAATCAGGTCTAGGTTAATGAAAAAATTAAGTTAAATGTGTAGTCGATATCTTACTCCAACAGAGCAAAAATGGGAGACTTGCTCCACAGTACACCACATATGCAATATCATTCTCAAAGCACAATGATATAAAGCAGTTCTGAGCTCTATTAACAATTGGAAAACTATAAAAGCTTGATGAATAGACTTTGTAGGAAGATGATTTGGTTCCTTCAATCAAACTGGTACCTTGTAATATGTCTGTGGACATCGAATATGACGATTAAAACATCATACAAGTTAATGGAACTCCATGCACTCTCATTGCGAACTTTGATATCATTGTAAGGAAATCCACTTTTCTTTAACATAAGCCCAGGCGTATCGAAGAAGCACTGCATGAACATTAAATTAGTCAGATATATTTTGTACAAAATAAGAATAAAAAATTTTTCACGGAACACATTTTATCACGTTTCTTCAATAAAAATGGAATAGATGCAAGAATGGAAAAGGCATCTACTTCCAGTCAACCTAAATGCTCAATAACTATTGAACTTCACACCAAAGGCCCAAAACAAAGGCCCAGAACAGGAGAATACTCCTGCCCATAAACAACAACAACATAGCCTTTTAGTCCCAAGCGTTTTACGTTGGCTCGCCAAGCCTATCACAACCCTCCTCCTTTACCAGGGCTTGGGACCTGCTATGTTGAGACAACATAGGCGGAGTTTGAGAATACTCCTGCCCATATCACCTCTAAATCCAGCATCATGTATGGTGCATCTTTTACTCGTCCTATAATCTTATCATGCTTCACATGTGAAACAACATAAAAATTTCTTATCCACATTTGAAATCTCATACATGCCCTCTTGGACAGTGGCCTCCCTTCTTGTGAGCAGAATGGGTATCATTTCAGCAAAACATATTCAGCAGGTGCATCTATTCAGATAACCCTTTATCATGCATTAGTACATAATTTTGTTTCTTATCTTTCTGGAGTCCAACTTGTTGCTAAAGTATTGACTCTTATGTATGTGGAATGCAAAATCAAATATAAGTACACTTAGTAACAAGTGAAAAACTACAACGGTCAGATTAAGTAAGAGGGGACTTTTCTATCAGAAATCGCATTAAATAGAGAAGAATCATAAACTGGGTACTTCATAAATTTGCATACGGTAGAACCATCTTATCGTAAAATTCAAGGAAAAAGGCACGTCCTTTCCTAGATCATGTTTGGAGAATTTCATTTGTAATAACATCACAAAAAGTGATTAAACAACTGAATCACCTTAATCAACAGACAAATCAATAAATATCTCGAAGTATAATCCAGAAAAAAACAGTGTATAGTGAGAACATACAATTTGTGTGTCTCCTTTAGTGAAAACTCCTAACACTTCATGTGTGGTGGTATTGACCTTCCGTGAAACAGCTGAAACTTTAGTCCCAACCTAATACCAGGAGAAGAAAAAACAATGAAACATCCCAAATTCATCAACTTACCTACAAAAGCGATTTATCCTCAAGAACAGCACCACACACACATGAAACATGTCATATACCAAACTAAATGAAAAGCAAGCACAAGCTCAAGGTCAATAGAAACATTAATATCCTGAAATTATCTATTCTACTGCCTTTCAGAAAAGAAAGTGAAAAAAAAGGAAGCAAACCATGCAATTAGTGAGAGCTGACTTTCCAGCGTTAGGAGCCCCAATAATACCAACAGACAAAGACTTCTGATCCTCCTCCGTCACCTCCCTCTCCTCCGCATCCTCATTATCATCTTCATCTAAAGCCGCTTCTAACAAGGCCCTGGCGAGGTTTCCAGCCTTCCTTTTCTTCTCCTCTTCTCTCCCCAAAATTCTCGAATGTGAAACATCTTCCCCAAACACTTTGCTTTTCACTCTGTCCCTGTATTTCTCGTCCCACATCTGCTTCTCGCCATCATCTCCACCGACCGGATTGAGATTCAAATCAGTAAAATGGGAGCTGTCGAATACAGCGTCCTGCGCGGTGGCGTACTCATCAGGGTTTGTTGGCGCGGGGTCATCGTCATGCTGAGGTTGGGCTGAGTAGAAACGGTGGAAAAAAACAGAAATGTTAAGGGGGTTCTGGGGGTTGGAAGATATAGCAGTGGCGATTGGGGTCAGTGTTCTCAGTGCCCTCAGAGCTTTCATTTGCAACTCAAATTTCTGGCAAGAACAGAGGAATACTTCTTCTAATCAAAAAAATTACTTCGTTTCACGCTTTCCCCTAAACTACAGTAAACTCATTCCAGACTCTTTTTCTTCTGTTTTTTCTCCTTGCACACATAGATTAAAACAACGTTGATATCACAATTTTAAGATTAATGCCGATAATTACCACAAACAACTTCACAATGTCCGAGGGCAAACAAAATTACAGAGATATAACAAGCAGCAAGATCCATATCTAAGCTATCTTTCAATTTACAAGCTCTATATAATGGTACTAAAATCCGGATATTTTGTAAGTCACCTTAAGACTCTGAAATATAGAATCAAAACCGAACTATGTACAGGTCACTTACAGCAATATTAAGTCCTTAAAATAAGCATAGCAGTTCCACATGCCGTAGTAAAACATATAATAGCAGTCATACAAAGAACTTAATCTTTTCTGATAACTATTCTGCGCATAATTAAGTCTTTACAACTCATGTATCATTCGGAGGTGTATCGCACCAAATTAACAGACCACAGAGTTTTCAAGACACAGTAAACCTTGTTAAAGTAACAAACATGCAAATAAGAGGTAATAAAATCCGGATATTCAAGTTCCATTCACAGACATCAAAACACATTCAGACTTCGCAAACAAAAGCATATTCAAGGAAAATGATATCCGTCTTGGTAAGAAGGCCAAAGAAAGTCCTTAGAACAACTCAGTTTTAATACAATTATTAATGTTTCAGCTTGTTCACTGTATTCAATTTATAGGTATTTTGGATTCGCAAAGCTTCTCGACGAGGGTGGTCTTGCTTCTTCGGTATTAACTGCACAATCCATTAATTCACATTCTATTGTTCAAACTGTTTATAGCTTGTACTTTTACACATCCATATGCTTGGATTCAAACTCGGCTAAAAAAACAATTGGGCAAGTGTAATTTTAAATGAGGACTACACATATGGCATTTGAATCTTGAACTCGTATTTCTTTTTAATGGTCGAACTTTATTTTGTGCAAATGTTGGCGAATAACCTCGTTTTCCTCAAACCAGGTTGTGGGAACACCCAATTACATGTGCCCAGAGCTTCTTGCGGATATCCCCTATGGCTATAAATCGGACAGTTGGTCATTAGGTACCAAACTAAATCTAGAAAACTTTACGTATTTTCACTTGTGTCTTAATCACTAAAATAGCTATAATTTAAGAACAGACCAAAATTCTATCAAAATTTTTTATATCTTTTTATTTGTCTAGGTTGTATTTGTTTACAATTCTGCATATCATCAAGCGTTCAAAGCCACAGTAACAAAATCAAAATGTTTTTTTGTGCTTTTCTTTTTTTATACAATGTTGTTGCTAAAATTCACAGGCAAAATCAAGTTCCATTTACAGACATCCAAACACATTCAGATTCGCAAAGAAAAGCACATTCAAACCGTTGATATCAAAAGCACATTCACAGGCACATCACTTCGGAATCAAAACACTTTCACACCGTTCATATCACAATTTTAAGATTATTACCTTTCGCAGATGTCGGACTTCGGAATCGGTGGACAAATTTGATAGCGGACGACGGGTATCTCTCTCTCTCTCTCTCTCTCTCTCTCTCTCTCTCTCTCTCTCTCTCTCTCGTAGCTAGGGTTTTTCTGTCTCTCTCGTCGATGCACAGTTGCACACTGAAAGCTTGGTTATTATTTATCCCACCAAAAAGGTGGGATTGGTTTTTGTGATTTTCCTTTTTTCTTATTTCCTCTGTTCATTTTATTTTGGGCCTAGACCTTTTTCGGTAAGAAAGGTGCTACCTTGGAAAGAAATGTTGATACAGTCACAAAACATTAAGCCCAAATAGAAGGAAAGCGTGTAACTTGGATTTCGAAATAGCCCAAAGAGGCGGTCAACACTCATGCTTCTTGGGCCTGACACGGACTTCATTTTCTCCCCGATGTTGAAAAACACAGTTCCTGGCAAAGGTTTATTTTTCACAGAAGAGGGTGGAGCCGTGGCGGTAGAGGGAAAACGCACGGGAAGGATGCCGGTGGCGATACCAGATTCATCGGAGGCCAGGGTTATCGCTCACATCGACATGGATTGCTTTTACGTACAAGGTCTTGATACTCTTCTTTGGTCTTAGAGCTTCGATGGAGTTGCACAGTTGATGTATTATCATTACTGGACGAATTATGAATTCTGATGATTTCTTCATTCTTGATTACTTTCTACTAGTTTGGGTATTCCGAATTGTGAGCGGAGCGCCATTAATTTTGCTTATCTTAGGATTTTTTTTTTTTTTATTTGTTCCTGAATAATTATTTCCTATTGAAGTTGAATGTTACTTGTAGAACATATTAGACGTCAATTTGATCACAATTTATAAAACAAATGAAGAATTGCTATTAACAGAAATGTATAGCTGCTACTTGTGCATGTGCAAGTTTGTCGATTGTGTTTCGCTAACTGCTTTTGGATATGGGACTTCTATTTGGTGCATTATCCCACCGCATGGATTCTGGCCTCTCTTTGCTCAATTCAATTTAAACTCTGCCGTGAATGTTTTTATTTGACCTGTAGTTGAGCAGCGTAAACAGCCTACTTTAAGAGGCCATCCTA